CTCCCCTTTCTACTCCACTCCTCCCCTCTCTACTCCTCTCCTCCCCCTCTCTACTCCTCTCCTCCCCCTCTCTACTCGCTCCCTCCCCCTCTCTACTCCTCTCTCCTCCCCTCTCTACTCCTCTCCTCCCTCTCTACTCCTCCTCCTCCCCCTCTCTACTCCTCTACCTCCCTCCCCCTCTCTACTCCTCTCCTCCCCCCTCTCTACTCTCCCCCCCTCTCTACTCCCTCTCCTCCCCCTCCTACCTCCTCCCCCTACTCCTACTCTACTCCACTCCTCCCCTTCTCTACGCTACTCCTCTCCTCCCCTCTCCTACTCCTCCCCTCTCTACTCCCTCTCCCCTCCCCTCTCTACTTCCTCTCCTCCCCTCTTCTACTTCCCTCCCCTCTCTACTCCACTCCTCCCCTCTCTACTCCTCTCCTCCCCTTCTCTCTCCCTCTCCGCCCTCTCTACTCCTCTCTCCCCTCTCTAACTCCTCCCCTCTCTACTCCAATCCTCCCCTCTCTACCTCCTCCTCCCCGCTCTACTCCTCTCCTCTCCTCCCCTCTCTACTCCACTCCTCCCCTCTCTACTCTCTCATCCCCGCTCTCTACTCCTCTCCTCCCCCTCTCTACTCCTCCCCTCTCTACTCCACTCCTCCCCTCTCTACTCCTCTCCTCCCCTCTCTACTCCTCTCCTCATATTTGGCCTCCTGTTTAAATGTGATGTATGTTTCTGTACCGTCCTGTTCATATTTCTCTATGGGGAGATTGGGGACAATAGATGTGTATTGAATAGAGAACCAGCTTGATATACAGCTATGAGGACAGAACATTGAAACCGGCATACCTTTGTGTGTCAAGGAGACACACACACACACACACACACAGTCAGCTTTAGACTACACTCCAAGGTGGATCTGACAGTAGCGAAGACATTTCAGGTAGTGTGTGTGTGTGTGTTTATGAGAGAGAGAGTTAGAGAATTGAATGAGTGGACACAGCCTTGACATATCCTGGTTCAGATGAATCATCCTGAGTGAATAAACCACCAACACATTCCTAGAGAATGGAGAAGCGCTACACACACACACACACACACACTGTGACAAGGCTCAGCCAGGTCCATCTGCCTGTGGGAGTAATTGGCATTAACCCTTTGAGCCATGCAGTGACCACCTGGTCAACACTGACACATATGCATGGGCCTGTGTGTGTATGGCTTTTCCCCTGGTTGTTTTTGTTGTTCTACATGCTTCCAGATGTATGAATGTGTCATAGCTGTCAATCACCAATCTGGTGTACGGTTGTTTTTGGACAGGGCACAACAATCTCGCCCCATCCCAAATCAACCCCCAGACCTCATAGGCACTCCTGTAGATCTGAGAGGAATGGTATAGCTTCATCTAGCCCTCTGAAATCAAATCTCACTGTATGATGTCTGCATCCCAAGGTAGTGGACACACACTGGACACACACACACACACACACACACTGGACACACACACACACACACACACTGGACACATGAACATACATGCACACAGACCATTATCATTATGATTAAATAAACCTCAGGTCCAGGGTGTGACCTCTGTCCACTATATCACCGCTAAGCAGTTTGTCCCGTTAATACTGGTAATGTCAAACATCGGGTACGGGGGCATTGTGGCGGAAAATCTCACCTAGACCACAGACGGAGTGTATGTTCCTCTAAGTGTTCTGCCGTTAATATAAACCATTATTCTAACCACTGTTCTGCTTTATCATATTCATAATTTGAGTGTTAAGCCATTCTATTATAGTCAGATTATCATATCTAACATTAGTCTGATAGACAAACACATTCAATCTGCATTAACACAGATCCAGTTAGGCTCAGCCATATGCTGTAGGCCAGGTTTCCTGAGCCATGGAACATACGCTTACGACACACACACACATTTATCCATTTTATATAAGGTGCTAGTTTTCTGGGCATCTGTGTCTTCACATACTTAGTAGGAGCCAGGTGCAACCACCGAGTATCTTTGGCTGAAAGAAGAGCCCAGACCTTGACAGCTTTCTCTTCTGATAGATGTTACTGCCAAAGGTCCAATGGGAGACTTTACACAATTAATCCTGTGACAATGGTGTTTCAAAATGGGGGCATGCATGTCACATAACAGGACAAGCTTTTACAAACCAGGACATGGACGGTTGAGCTGTTTTGCTATTGAAATGCCAGTACATCATCAAATAGTGAACAGATGGCTATTCATGCTCATCAACAATCTGACAAAACCTTATTGTATAGGAATACCCCGTTTCTAAGAGATGCACAAAACACTAATCTAGCCAAGGCTAAACATCTCAAACTTACATTGACATTTTAGTAATTTACCAGACACTCTTATCCAGAGCGACTTACAGTTTGTGTCGGTCTATGAGATTATAATTGATCATTAATACATTCCAGACTCCAGGGTAACTATGTCCACTCTGCACACACATTCTAAGAATGTAACAATTAATTCCAGCCTTGGTTAGTTAAAAACCCTTTTTCTCATTCACATCAACAAAATGCCTTGTACTGTATTGACACTCAAATGAGGTGTAAGTATCTACCCACTGGGCACAGACGTCAATTCAAAGTCGGTTCATCGTAATTTCATTGAAATGACGTGGAAACAACGTTGATTCAACCAGTGTGTCAGAGGAAAATAAGATGAGGTCCACTCTCAATATGAAATATAAAAGGTTGGTCATTTAACAATCTTACCATTTAACAATGTCAGGTAGGCCCATTAGACCTTGATACTGATTTAAATTGTCTCATTTCAATGTTATTACTGAGGACTTATACAGCACTATCAATTGTCTACACTGTTTCCCAAGGCAAGGCAGTGAAGTTGGGGCTTGTATTCCCTTTTGCCTGAGAGAACCCATCATAACACAATATTCACCATTCAATATACCAAGAACAGAGATTCCATTGACTTCAACAGGATGGAAAAAGGTTTGTGTCTCTACCATTCATTCTGACTGCTGTTTGTTTCTCCTGTGCTGATGTTTAATGTAGGGAGTCTGTTAAAGGTGGAGTTGTGATGTTCTTTCAAGAATGTAATGGTCTAACAGTCAAGGACGAGGTCAGAGTGTACTGCTCCAAAAGGCATCTCCCGTAATAGCCTTTATTGTTGACGTGTTTCATGTGAAATGCATCAACGAGACTATTCAAGGGAGCTTCAGTGCAGAACTTTTGCTCTATAAACTGAATGTATCTATATTCCATGAACCCGAGAACCACCTCTGCAGGTTACAAGTTTACAGTAAAGTCATGAATCAGGCATGTCTGCACCTCTTTTCAAATCCACCCATGCCCTGGTGTGTAGACCCTTGTCTGTACATTCACTTTGTATGATCAGCTACAGTGCATTCAACATAAAGCATCTACAGGTAACAGCTGGATAGTACCCGGGGACTGCTTTAATAATTGACCCATTTAGCCATGTCATTATCCAGTCCTCTGGAGTATAGGCACTCAGTTTAAAAGCACTCGTGTCTAGAATATGAAAAGTACTTGGGTTGACATTCCTTGTTTAAACGAGTCCACGCTGCTTGCTTAGCGAGGACCACTTCCTCCTGATTCGGCTCATACCGAGGTTGGAACCCAGGACCTCTGCCGCGCTAACACACGTAACCGCCCTCCTGACGTGTCTTACCAAGTCTCACCAACGAAAAGCTATAGCTATTCGGCAGAGTTCTAGAAATCGTCGGGGAGGTACTCAGATCCAGACACATTGCGGAGAAGAAATTAACGTACGTGGGTGTGGCGTAGCATTTGCCCGGAGCAAGGAGTTTGGGTAGCCAGGCAACCTTATCCCTTCATCTATAAAATGTTTAGCACAAATTGTAGTGTAGATATTGGGGGGTGGACGAACAGTAGATGTGTGGTCTGTGGGTCCTCCCCTGAATTTGTTTTGACATTTTACAATGCATTTTCTGCAATTCTACACAGTTTGACATGACTTACTATGCCTCTCTTGAGGGGTATTTTGAGGGGTGTTTTGAAAACACAGTATATGTGGAAGGATATCACTAGAATGGCGCTGGAGAAGATGGCTGCCGTTTTACAGCCCTCTAACCAATTGTACTGTTAGGTGTGTTTTTCCGCGTTATTTGTAATTTATTCTGTACATAATGTTTATGCATAGTCACTTTAACTCTACCCACATGTACATATTACTTTAACTACCTCAACTAGCCGGTGCCCCCGCACATTGACTCTGCACCGGTACCCCCCTGTATATATAGCCTCCCTACTGTTATTTTATTTTACTTCTGCTCTTTTTTTCTCAACACTTTTTTGTTGTTGTTTTGTTTTATTTTTTTATTAAAAAATAAATGCACTGTTGGTTAAGGGCTGTAAGTAAGGATTTCACTGTAATGTCTGCACCTGTTGTATTCGGCGCATGTGGCCAATAACATTTGATTTGATTTGATTTGATATGTCGTCACCATCATTAATAAAGGTTTTTCAAGGCAAATATTAAGAAGACACAAAAGATGAAGACTGAGTTGTCTCCCGACCATATTGTACTTGTTCTCGAGGCAGCTCTGCAGACTGGTCACTAGCTGGCACAGCCACAAAGTCATAAAATCTGATTTTAAGCCTAAACATAACGTAACCACACTGCTAACCCTAATGCCTAACCCTAACCTTAACTGAAGACCAAAAACGATTTACAATATAGGCAATTTTGACTTTGCAGCTGGCCCATCTAGCGGAAATCGCTCAGTTCTGCATCAAGGACAAGACTCATCCCGATAAACGTCAACCTGCCCGTATCCTGTCAGCATCTCCGTCATTCTGAAAGTTTTTCTTCAAATGACATGGTCAGTCGCTTGCTAGGCTATGATTGGCATTGCTGCCCCGCCTCCTCCAGCAGGGCACCCAATGGAGATGCAGACCTAGGGTCCCACCCCGCCCATCAGGTGAGCTATAGAAAGACTCCACCAGACTCTCGAGCTCATAACGGAGCTCGTAATAGACAGTTGTCATTTTCTTCTATATTCTTCTTCTCTCCTCTTCGTTGACCCGATGGTGTTCAGATCGCAGCTAGAGCTCTTTCCCGCCCATCTCCTCCTGTCCCGCATGCTGTTACTGGAGGAGCCCCCCGCATGCGCATCTGCCTCTGGTCTCCCTGGGCTCCGCTTCTCTGCAGCGCAGGTGTGTGTGTGTGTTTATTTGTTTGTGGTGGGTGTATGTCTTACTGTTGGAGATGACAGTTGTTGTTGTTCTTGTCAGGTGGCCGGTGTGTGTGAGACTCTGGAGGAGACCGGGGATGTCGAGCGGCTCGCGCGGTTCCTGTGGTCCCTGCCGGTGGCCCCAGGTGGCGCGTGCTTCATCGCCGAGCATGAGTCCGTCCGGAGGGCGCGTGCCGTGGTCGCCTTTCACACCGGGAACTACCGCGAACTCTACTGCATCCTGGAGAACCACAGCTTTACGCGCCGCGCCTCGCACGTTAAACTACAGGCCATGTGGCTCGAGGCACACTACCGGGAGGCTGAGAGGCTGCGCGGGCGGTCGCTGGGCCCGGTGGACAAGTACCGTATCAGGAAGAAATTCCCTTTACCAAGAACCATCTGGGACGGTGAGACGAAGACACACTGCTTCAAGGTTTGTTCGTTTTATTGGTGATTATTGGTGTTTAATATTCACCAGGCTATGGCTATTCTGGAGCTGTAGCCCAATTCTACACTTTAATTGCTATGGATAGCCTACATTTCATTTCGATGTATTTACCTGTTGTTTGGATTACATGTTTTTTTTCTTCCATAAATAACCTACAGTTTATGATAATGACAGTGATGATGATGATGATGATGATGATGATGATGTTGATGATAACGATGATAATTTCCAGGAGCGGACGCGGGGCCTGCTGAGGGAACGATACCTCCAGGACCCCTACCCAGACCCCGCGAGGAAACGGGAGCTGGCGCGCGCCACCGGGCTCACTCCAACACAGGTCGGGAACTGGTTCAAGAACCGGAGACAGAGAGACCGCGCGGCCGCCAACAAGAACAGGTTAATACAATAAATAAATAAACGTGATTATATCATAACCCACAACTTCTGTTCAGGGAGAATTCCATGTAGGCTAATGTATAAAAATAGACGGGAAATCTGATTCTGCAAAGTAAACCCAAATGGAAAGCTTTGGATTTTACATGAGTTTTGGATAAACATCTTGGATGACTTTTACCTCTTTTGCAACAATTGCACTAAGTTTGTGTCTAGGTCTATAAACATTTGGGTGGTGAACTGGTGATGTCATGGGTAATAAAACAATTGTTGTGTTATTTCCCAGGCTTGCGCACCACGGTATGCGACCGGGTGCCATGCTCGCTCTGGCCAGGAAAGAATGCAGCCCCACCAGAAGTGCATGCAGCCCGGAGATGATCCTCTCGGTAATGGACAGCGACTCAGACTTTGACATCTGAAACTCAGCCCACTGATAACGGGTTGCATGCTACTAAGGGGCCGGGAAATCACGGAGAATTCCGGATATTTTTTAGATTGTATTACCATTTTTGGCCAACAAGCTAGGTTATATTTCACCTAGCCACGTTTGCATCAGGATGCACTGAAGCCACATCTCCAACAGCACGCAATGGACATATTTCTTTCTTTATTTTTGTTATGTTATAAGAGTTTGCTGTCTGAAACAGGCCTACATGATATTTACAATGTGCAGAACATCCATCTCTTTATTTCGCTTTCTCTGTCTCTTCTGATGCTTTTCTGACAATCATGGTGTCTAGTGCACCTTCCCTGTCTGTCTGTCTGTCTGTCTATCTGAAAATAAATTATTCACCTGATGTCAGGAAAATTGACTGAAGGTCCTTTGAATCGCTGTAAAAGCCTATTTGTTCGTTTATAATTTACAAATACGTACTTTATAAAAATAAATTAAGTTGATATAATTGTTAATTTATTATTGGACTAGAGTTGGTCGTTGTTCTACAAAGCATAAATCGTTGTCATACACGGAATCTGACTGCTTTTTGCGATGAGGTGTTATTTCATCACTGCGTGAACATAAACTGGCATCAAGTCATGGGAAACAGCGCATTCTGGTGGCTACAATGAGATGTCATTATTCTGGCAGACGCACTTCCTCATTGAGGCCACGAGATGGAGACAATAGACTGTAGAATGCAGAGCCAATTACCTATTTGCACGGCTCCAGTAGCATGTTCTTGGTCTTTTACACAAGTCAAATACATATTTATTGGTCGCGTACACATATTTTCCAGATATTATCGCGGGTGTAGCGAAATGCTTATGTTCCTAGCGCCAACAGTGCAGTAATACCTAACAATACAAAACAGAGGGGTTGGGTTAAATGCATAAGACACATTTCGGTTGAATGCATTCAGTTGTGCAACTGACTAGGTATCCTCTTTCCCTATCAATACAAGCAATGTCAGAGTCCGGAATATAAATATAAACTCAGCAAAAAAAGAAACGTCCTCTCACTGTCAACTACGTTTATTTTCAGCAAACATAACATGTGTAAATATGTGTATGAACATAACAATATTAAACAACTAAGACATAAACTGAACAAGTTCCACAGACATGTGACTAACAGAAATTGAATAATGTGTCCCTGAACAAAGGGGGGGTCAAAATTAAAAGTAACAGTCAGTATCTGGTGTGGCCACCAGGTTCTTGCTGTCAGATGTTACCCCACTCTTCCACCAAGGCACCTGCAAGTTCCCAGACATATCTGGGGGGAATGACCCTAGCCCTCACCCTCTGATCCAACAGGTCCCAGAGGTGCTCAATGAGATTGGGATCCGGGCTCTTCGCTGGCCATGGCAGAACACTGACATTCCTGTCTTGCAGGAAATCATGCACAGAACGAGCAGTATGGCTGGTGGCATTGTCATGCTGGAGGGTCATGTCAGGATGAGCCTGCAGGAAGGGTACCACATGAGGGAGGAGGATGTCTTCCCTGTAACGCACAGCGTTGAGATTGCCTGCAATGACAACAAGCTCAGTCCGATGATGCTGTGACACACCGCCCCAGACCATGACGGACCCTCCACCTCCAAATCGATCCCGCTCCAGAGTACAGGCCTCGGTGTAATGCTCATTCCTTCGACGATAAACGAGAATCCGACCATCACCCCTGGTGAGACAAAACCGCAACTCGTCAGTGAAGAGCACTTTTTGCCAGTCCTGTCTGGTCCAGCGACGGTGAGTTTGTGCCCATAGGCATGGTTGTTGCCGGTGATGTCTGGTGAGGACCTGCCTTACAACAGGCCTACAAGCCCTCAGTCCAGCCTCTCTCAGCCTATTGCAGACAGTCTGAGCACTGATGGAGGGATTGTGCGTTCCTGGTGTAACTCGGGCAGTTGTTGTTGCCATCCTGTACCTGTCCCGCAGGTGTGAAGTTTGGATGTACCGATCCTGTGCAGGTGTTGTTACACGTGGTCTGCCACTGCGAGGACGATCAGCTGTCTGTCCTGTCTCCCTGTAGCGCTGTCTTAGGCGTCTCACAATACGGACATTGCAATTTATTGCCCTGGCCACATCTGCAGTCCTTATGCCTTTCAGCATGCCTAAGGCACATTCACGCAGATGAGCAGGGACCCTGGGCATCTTTCTTTTGGTGTTTTTCAGAGTCAGTAGAAAGGCCTCTTTAGTATCCTAAGTTTTCATAACTGTGACCTTCATTGCCTACCATCTGTAAGCTACCTGGGGCGGCAGGTAGCTTAGTGGGTAAGAGCGTTGTGCCAGTAACCGAAAGGTCGCTGGTTCTAATCCCTGAGCCGACTAGGTGAACAATCTGTCGATGTGCCCTTGAGCAAGGCACTTAACCCTAATTGCTCCTGTAAGTCGCTCTGGATAAGAGCGTCTGCTAAATGACTAAAATGTAAATGTAAGCTGTTAGTGTCTTAACGACGTTCCAATGGTGTGTAATAGATGTATATCGTACTCTCCTTGCGTTGTGTTTTCTCTTAATAAATCACATCAGCCAGTGGTCCCAGTTGAGCATAATTTATTTATGTTGTTAAATGGGAAACAGCACGTTAGTTGTGCAGAGCTTAACGATATTGATGGCTGTCGATGGCAAAATCCCTTGCATCACATTTTCATACTGGGCGAACAAAATACAAAAATACAATACAAAATAGAACATGTGTAAATACCTGTTGTTAAATGGGAAACAGCACGTTAGTTGTGCAGAGCTTAACGATATTGATGGCTGTCGATGGCAAAATCTGTAACATGAAGGCAACTGTGTTAGCAGTGGGCTCATGTGACCATTGCGTCGGTGTATGCTAGCTAACACACTTATCTACAGCAATCATATGCCAAAGCACATCCCAGAAAGCCCCTCAATCCCTAACAGGTGCCATATACCCACACATGTATGAATCAGTAACGTACAGCAACCTTGTACACATTGTAAACTATAAAACAGTATTCAGAACATGACCTACCCCTTGCATCACATTATCATACTGGGAAGACCTGACGTTCACGATCTCCCCCTAGCTGCAAGCGGGGCCAATCACAAAACGCCTTATTGTCATCAGAGTTGAACCAACCAATAAGAATGCTTGAACATTAAATACACATTTCTTTAGAGGCAAGTGGAAACATAACCAACCCTGTTACAGGTGCATGTTCATTAATTGTTTATGGTTCATTGAACAAGCATGGGAAACAGTGTTTAAACTCTTTACAATGAAGATCTGTGAAGTTATTTAGATTTTTACGAATTATCTTTGAAAGACAGGGTCCTGAGAAAGGGACGTTTTTTTGTTGTTGCTGAGTTTATATGTACAGTGGGGAGAACAAGTATTTGATACACTGCCGATTTTGCAGGTTTTCCTACTTACAAGGCATGTAGAGGTCTGTAATTTTTATCATAGGTACACTCAGTGGCGGCTCCTGAAAAAATTCTCAGGGGGGCAATTTTTCTGATGATTTAGGTGACCTACACACATTTTAAAAAATATATGTCCAGCAACAACATGAAGACAGTGGCAGCATATAAGTCAATACCAGAAGCATTTATTGACTGATCTCAAAAGTGTTGGCTTACCAGGGTTGGTGGAGCCCTCAGTTTCATCTTTGCCTCGCAAAGCTAACTCAAACACTCCGCAAAACTTCACACACTGGATTAGCCGGCTGAGGATGTGGCGGTTCTTGCTAATGTCGTAGTAAATATATTTGTTATAGTGAATATGGAATATGATATGTTGAGTAAAATGTTGTGCTAAGATCTATTTAGGTCAGGAGCTGGTTATAAGTTCTGTTCCTATCCAATAACAATGGACAAAAGGGTCCTATCTTGTCAGCCTTGTCAGTTTCAGTTCTCCAGTAAACTTGTGATTATCAACACTAACCTCATCGTTGTGGCGGCGGACAGCTAGCCTGTATCCCTCATCCAGTTGAGTGGGAATGTTCACTCTCCCCAAAGCAGACAATCTCAAACAGCTATCCATGTGGGTCTTTGACAGCTCATGTTTCTTAATCTTTCCTGAAAGATGGTGCATGTCCGTTACACACCAGTCGCTGTCCAAGCGGTGCTGTCTGCCGTGCCGCCTTCAGGGTGAAAGAGTAAGCAGGGGGTAGCAGAAGACTGCATTAGCTACATCGCAGCCTGCTAGCCAGGTTTTTCGTTCGTACCAATTTTTGGAAAATCCTTGGGTGTAGGACTTCCCCCCTTTAGTAGAAACCTGTTGAATTATTAAATTTGGTCTGGGAGGTCCTAATTGTTTCGTTGCCAATTTATCTTCATTTGTTCGCCGACAAAAAGGAACTTCTTTCAAAGACACAATCGAGTTGCACTGAAGCCTAGCCATTTTGATAGTAGTAGTGAATTGATTGAGGCTGCTACCCGCTCTTTTCTTAGTTACGTTCATGGTTATGTTACGTATGACGAAAGCGCGTAAGTGCAAGCCCTCAGAAACCCATAGAGATTGTATTGAAAGCTCTGATATTTGAAAAAAATAGATTTTACATGGGAGTCTATGACAGACTTCTGGGCGATTTTCAACCTGACTGAAATCGCCCCAAAAGGGGGGGGGGGGGGCCATTTGAAGCACGACTTTAGCCTGATTGGACATTTAGTGGCACTGTGGCAGATCAGACGTCTAGATTACAACACTGATAACTACTGTTGCCGTGATATAATTGATTAGAAAAAAAATCCCTTCCTTTTCCCGTTTGGCAGTGCGTCGCCCATATCGCCCTATTGAACACACCGCCCCTGGGTACACTTCAACTGTGAGAGACGGAATCTAAAACAAAAATCCATAAAATCACATTGTATGATTTTAAAGTAATTAATTTGCATTTTATTGCATGACATAAGTATTTGATACATCAGAAAAGCAGAACTTAATATTTGGTACAGAAACCTTTGTTTGCAATTACAGAGATCATACATTTCCTGTAGGTCTTGACCAGGTTTGCACACACTGCAGCAGGGATTTTGGCCCACTCCTCCATACAGATCTTCTCCAGATCCTTCAGGTTTCGGGGCTGTCGCTGGGCAATACGGACTTTGAGCTACCTCCAAAGATTTTCTATTGGGTTCAGGTCTGGAGACTGGCTAGGCCACTCCAGGACCTTGAGATGCTTCTTACAGAGCCACTCCTTAGTTGCCCTGGCTGTGTGTTTCGGGTCGTTGTCATGCTGGAAGACCCAGCCACGACCCATCTTCAATGCTCTTACTGAGGGAAGGAGGTTGTTGGCCAAGATCTCGCGATACATGGCCCCATCCATCCTCCCCTCAATACGGTGCAGTCGTCCTGACCCCTTTGCAGA